AGTGGACAAGAAGCTGCATGTCATCTATTATGCTAGCAGGACAATGGATGAAGCCCAAACCAGATATGCTACAACTGAGAAAAAACTCCTAGCAGTTGTCTTTGCATTTGAAAAGTTCAGGAGCTACTTGGTTGCATCTAAGGTGATAGTCTACACTGATCATGCTGCACTAAGGCACATTTATGCCAAGAAGGATACCAAGCCAAGACTCCTTAGATGGATACTCCTCTTGCAAGAGTTTGACATGGAGATTGTAGATAAGAGAGGCATTGAAAATAGTGTAGCTGATCACCTCTCAAAGCTAAGGATTGATGACTTTGTCCCCATCAATGATACTCTACCAGAAGAGCAGCTGCATGCTTTAGAAATGAAGACAGCTGAAGTGATGAGTTTAGAAGAGGACAAACTGCCTTGGTATACTGACTTTGTAAACTTGGTTATTGGCAAGATACCACTAAACCTTAACTCCCATCAAAAGAAGAAGTTCTTCAGAGATGTCTCTCACTTCTATTGGGGTGAACGTTATCTCTACAAGATGCACCAGTTGCTCATAATGGAAGTAGGAACCAAGAATCTCCCTTCTCTACGAGTTTCATAGTATTTACCGAACATAATTGGTAAATAGCAAAGGTTTGTTTCCTTTTCTTTCACTGTGCAGCATCAACGCTTTATCAACTCTTTTTCTGCAGGAAAACGCGAGATGGATGAGAGTCGTCAACGAGAGAAAGTATCAATCTCCCAACGAAAACTATGGAACTTGTGAGTGTGTTGAAGACGTTAATTGCTTGTTAATGGTGATTGTTAATCATCCCCATCACTTCACGCATTGATAATCACCCTTCGTTCATCTCTGTTTTAATGTTTTTTTATTTTCTAAACCTTATTCAAACAAAATAAATGCAGGCAAATAATTATCTCCGTGTGTTTTGGATTCAGGGGTCGAAACAGGAAAAAAACTTTGAGCAAGAACAATGATGCTGACGAAAAGAAACTTTTGCCCATTACAGTAGATGGAAGCTGCTTGAGAACGAAGATGATGTTGTGATCAAACATGAAGGACAGTCAAGAGGGAATAGGCGAGCAGCTAAACAAGGGAGGCATACATCTAAGTTTTGTCTGCATCCAGCTGGTGATACTCCTTCTGCTTGCAGATTGTTTGATTCCATCCCGAGTTTTTGTGTCCTGGTGATTGTAAGCGATGGCATCGAGCTACCTTTCAAAGATGTTATAGATTACAGAAAGTTCTATGTGTTTTTGAGGAGTGATGCGGCTTTGAAGCCCGAGTTTTTGGTTAAGAGGTTGAGAAAAGTGAAGCCTCAGAAGATTTTAAAGTACCAAAAGGCTATGAAAGAGGTAAAGAGAGTTTCTTGTTCTGTCTTTTTTTTAATTGTTCACTTGTGAATCCAAATAAAAGTTTGATTTGTGTAGGTGAGACGATACTTCGATTATACGCATCGCAATGAAATTATGAACGAGATTTGGAGGCAAGTTACTCAGAAGACACCCTTAATCAAACTTATGATCAATCGTGAAAAGCGAATGATTAAGACAGAATCAAACGAAGAGCAGTGTTCTTGTTTATGCTCAAACCATACTGGTATCATCCATTGTGTTTAGTAGCTTAAAGCCTTTTTTAAGTTGAATGTGCACAAAATTCATGGCAAATCATGAACCAAGTCGGAAGGTCATGCGATAAGTACTTGTACTGTTGTACAGGTCTCTTGAAGTTCTTGCGATAAATCTGAGAAGCCGCCCCCTTGGGCTAAGTTCTCGACTGGCACTGATGAACTCATGATGTTGGCTTTGGCTCCGTCATGGCGGGTTGTTTTCGGACTTGGTGGTTTTGGCGTGAGATGCAAGCACAGTGAAGAAGAAGTTGGTTTTCTGTTTTTCTTGTTTTAGTTTATATAATCATTTTTGAATAATCTCATAGATAAGCAATTTAATGTCACAGCTTTACACAATATATATCATCTACAATAATAACAACGGAAAAGGGCCACTTTTGGTTTACTTTGCTTTAAGACCACAGAGTTTTAAAATACTGTAAGCAGGAATGAAACTTATTAAACATCTTTGGCCTGAAATGATAATGGGAGTAAGAGCATCTCCTTTTTTTTTTTTCAACTGGGTAATATTAGAAACCGAAAGAGTTAAGAACACAGAGACACAGCCTGCAAGAAGGCAAAACTTTACAATTAAAGACCCTTCCGAGATAGCTAAAGTTAAAAAAACGTTGTCCCTTTGGTGGCATCTATTCACAAGAATAAGTAATCAGAATCGTGTCCTCCGATTCGATTAGCCACAACTAATGCATATACAGATACAGCAGACTCTAGATGATGCAGACAACAAATGAGGACAGTAGACACAATGTAGATGTGGACAGCAGATGAAGATGAACTGAAGATAACTAAAAAAATACTAACTTACTGAGCCTGGAGAGCAGAGTGATACAGTGTGATGATGCTGTTTTACTTTTGAAAACCCCAACCCACCTTTAAAAACTTTTGAAAACGGTTTTACTTTGAAAACATGTCTCCCGGGTCAGAACCGGTATGACTAGTAACCTAGGCTCTGATACCAAACTTGTAACACCGCCTATCCTCATATGAGATGACGTGTTAAACACTCAACTTTCCAACCAAGTTACCACAGCATTAACTCCAAATCAATACTCATTTCATAGATATAAATCCAAATAGTCTTGCAAATAACCAACTTAAACTCAAATAAATCATAATCAAGTCACAAAACCAACTGAAAACCATTTGAAATAGAAAGCTAAGTGTCTTAAGGACCCCAATGACCGAACTAGAGAACCAGCTTGCCACCATCACACGCCAATCACTCCTGCTGCTCCTGCTCACCTGCGCAAGGGGGAAAGGGAAAGGAGGGGATGAGTAATTTAGATTACCCATGAGAATGCATACATGTGGTCCACCACATATACCATTACCCAACTTGTCGCTAGCTAGAGCCAAACGAACAAGCGCAGTTTAACGATTTCTCTAACAATTAACAAACAAAATATGCAATGAACAAAGCGAGCATACTGAACGCCTCTCGTTACAGTATCCCACGGATTAACCTCCGCAAGTTTCGTATGTCTTACACCCTTGCTAGGGGACGCATCTCTGCAAGACTCTAAGTCGCTGCACGACTGGTCCGTCGACCTGAGCGCCACATGGCACTATGACAGGCACAACCTCTGTCGCAGGTGTCAATCATGCCAGCAGTGCCTCTCACTGCTGGGTCCTAATGCAGTTTGTGCTTTCATACACACTATATGCAATGCAATGCAGTTCACAATTCTCACAAGCAATATTCAATATCAAGCAACAATCAATAGTATTAACCCATATCTAGATCTATGTTCTGAAAGTAAATAACAACCTAGCAAACAGCACAGATCTACAAGTTACGACCTAGAGCGGAACTTGTAGGGGATTTAGAGGACTTGGAAGTCAGATCTAACAGGAGAAGCTAGCTAATGATAATGAAGGGAAGGCATGAATACATCCTCACCTTTTCCTAATCGAATGAAAGCTAAAAAGGGATCTAGGGTTTAAGGGATCCAACGACGGAAAGCAAAGGACTCAAGAAAACAGCAGCTAGGAACGGCGGAACGACGGTGGCTCTCCTCGGTGGCGGCGGTCGGCGGCGATGATGATCGGCTGCGGCGACTTGTTCGGTTAGGGTTCCTAGGTTCTATCTCTGAGTGCTTTGGGAGTTGTGATGGAAATCCTTAACTCTCTAACTTTGTTTATATAGGAAAGACTCTGGGAAAACCCTAATACATTTCCTTTTGGGCTTTTGACATATGGGCTTTTCCTTTTCCTGTTAGGCCTAGATCTAGAGCGGTACAAATTGTCTCAAGATTGGATTGCATGTAGCCTGGATTCCTATCCTTGAATTGAAAAAACCAGGAGAAAATGTCAGACAAAGTGGATTTGGTGAATCTGCTGTTCTGTTTCATTCCCATTCGTTCGCAGCTCCTCTTACTGGTAACGAATCTTTTGAGGTTTGTCTCTTTCGTCTTTATGATTAGATATGTTTCAGAAATTTCAATTGTTTGGAGGCGATCCGGAATCAAAGTCATAACTTTTAGGGTTATTTTGATAGATTTGTTCTCAATTCTTGAATTTTTAGTAGAAGAGTTTCTTACTTTGGTCTCAATTTTCCCGGGAATCAAACAGAAAGTTCGTTGACAATCTGGTGAAATCATGAGTTTGTATGAAATCTTCCGAGTATGGAAATTTCTGTATTTGGTTTAAGCTTTAGCTAATGATTTATCATAAAGTTTATAGATTTTGTTGAGTTTTAAATCATTGAAGTAAGACATGATTTTGTTTTCCTCCTCTTGAGGCAATTCAGATTTTGAGTTGGTATTTCTTGTCTTAATTGTTTACTGTTTTTTATGATGTAGCTTTATGATGGGATACACTAAAACTCAAGATCAGAGCACAACAAGGAAGAAGGTAAGGTTTATATTTCAAGAAGAAGACATTTTGTCATTTCTATTTGGTAATGTGAACGTGTATGCTCCCAAACCACCAAAACATTGCTCCAACTCTTGATTCAAAAACTTCACAAGAGAAACTGCAGCGTAATCAAAGACAGAACTGAAAAAAAAAATTCTTTGGAAGAAATTAAATCAACCTTAATTGGATAGATGAGAGGATTTTGCAAAATTCACCAGAATTCACAACTTTCAAATAAGAAATTGTTAAAAGCATGCAAAAGGGATTTATAAAACAAAATCCAAAAGACGGAAGAAATATAAACAAAAGAAATTTGGATTCAGTCAGAAATTATTATCCAATCAAACGGAAACAAAAAAAGTACTCTCTCCGTGTGAAATACGAGAGAGAAGAGTGAGAAAATTTGGCCTCTCTAAAAATATTTTAAAATATAATTTTTTCTATAAGATGAGTATATCAATAATTCACTTTTTGTCAAAAGAAAAAAAAAAAGAAAGTAATCAGCCTTATCCACAGGCTGATCTTCCTCCAAATCTACATTTGTCGCCTTCTGCGTCATATGTTCTTCATTGCTCACCACATAAACCCTAGCGATTCAAGCAGAAATTCCTTTTCGTCATCCAACAACGATTATGACGTCTGCTCTACCTTGCTCGAATTAACTCCGCTAAAAGTGAAACTGCCTTTCTCGCACACGGATCGGCACCATCACCGTAGTGCTCACTTCTGTTTCAGACCGCAACGCAAATCGAATTTCGTTCGTCTCCAAATCGCCTTCAAATACAAACAATCGGATACAGATGTGAGATCCGATTCGGCTCCTGGTCAGATATGGAAGAACTCGTTCGACCAAATCGCGATTCAGATCAAGAAAACGCTAGATTCTTTGAAGAAACCCGCAATAGCCGCAGTTTTGCTCGGTCTGCTTCTGTTCTATGATCCTAATTCGGCTGTGGCTGCATCTGGTGGTAAAATTGGTGGTAGCGGCTTCTCGTCACGGCCTCGAAGCTCTTCTTCATCATCATCTTCTAGAATGTATTCTGTACCGAAAACATCGGATTCGAGTATGAGATACTCGGCTCCGTACTATGGACCTTCTCCGTTCGGTGGAGGTCTCTATGTTGGTCCGGCGGTTGGTTTTGGGTTTGGTGGGTTTTCAAGCTTCTCTCTGATTCTGGTTGGTTTCGCAGCGTTTGTTTTGGTTTCTGGTTTCCTCTCAGACCGGTCGTCACAGGACGGCATATTAACCGATACTCAGAAAACTAGCGTCATTAAACTACAGGTGACCTCTCTGCTGTTTATTTTGAAATTCTCTAGCTGCTCATAAAGAGTTCTGTTTTCTGGGACTTAAGTTCTGGAATAGTGTTTGACTGGTTAGATGATTAATGGAATAATAGAATAGTCGAGTGCTCTCGAATCTTAAACACTTAAGCTGAATAGAGTTTTCGCATAATAATCATAAAATGCAAAAAAACTGGGTTTTCCCCAAAATATGCATACTTTTCCAAAACGTGAACGCATTATGAATGTAATGAATGGTAAAAAATATAGTGGAATCCCGTTTCTTAGGACGCTAAAACTTGATAAGTTTGTATTATCATTTTCCACGTCTAGCTGCTCATCATGACTTTGTTTGGGTCTAAGGTATATGTATTGCTGTCAAAAAATATTCTTTATAGAGGAATATTTGTAGGAACCAAAATAGAAATAAGAGAGGAATATTGGTACTTATAGCTCGTTCATGAGCTTATAAGGAGGACAGCGGATTGGAAACAATAAGATACTCCCTGTTAAGGGCTGGAATAAACTGAACCATGTAGTTAAATCTGTGTCGTCTGAGTGGAACCTTGAATCGGCTTGAATTGAGGCCAGCTTGCTCCTTACGGTTAGATTGATGTCTCCGATGACGCTGGAGGCAAGTGATGACTTTCCAAACTTCCTTAAGAAGATAGATAATATGATTGCAACTGCAGTATGCAGTTTCTCAGAGGGCTTTTAATAGCTTTGTTATATTCATGAGCAGATTATTTAGCTGTATATGTTTTGATTTCTCTATAGGTTTGCTATATTCCGTGAGGGCTATTTAACGCGTGTATATCATTGCACAGCTAACCATATGGTCAGAATATCAGATTGATAATTTTCTTCAGTTTCATTAATCTTTGTTTATTTGCATTTGTATCTTTTCAGGTGGGGTTGCTGGGATTGGGGAGGACCCTACAACAAGATTTCAATCGCCTTGCTGAAAGTGCAGATACATCCACTTCAGAGGGCCTGAGTTATGTTTTAACCGGTAAGTGGTATTCCTCGATGTATCTCATCTCATCATATATGAAAAAAGCTATGACCTTTTCTTCTTTTTTTAGATTGAAGATGTCGTGTGTGTGTTTTTTTTTTGGCAGCTTTGACAGTATTACTTGTGGGACTATTTTGTTTTCTGTGGTTTTCCCAATTTTGTTTTTAAACTCTAATAGAATAATAACCTGGGAGATCGGGCCTTCAATTAGAATTAGCCCATTAAGCTAGTAGATGGCTTACAAAACATTTGGGATTTTATAAAACTTTGGTGAAAATTGTTCATCTGCCTTTCATTAGGGATATCTTTCTATCATGAGTCAACATTGCTTGATCTATGTAAAGCTTGGTTTCAGTAAGACAACTCCTTTATAATACTGAAGAATAAGTTCCATCTGTTCGTGAAACTGGTGACATGTAATCAAATACTTATCATTGCTTGCGTAGGACATACCAAAATTCGTTTCCAGGTTCGGTATTGTGTTCTCTTTTCAGAGAGCTCAAGGATTACAAATTCTCTTTGCTGTGATATGTGTTGTTGCTCCTAATGTTATTTCTGCGACTAATTTTGTGTATTACAGAGGCAACATTGGCTTTACTGAGGCACCCGGACTATTGCATCTCTTGTTATTCATCAGTAAGCCCACTGATTCTTCCATGACTAGTGTATGCTCTATATATTAACAATTTGTAGCCTGGTTCATTACCTGGACTAGTATTTCTAGCATCATTCAGTGAACATGGATACAGAACCTATCCACTCTGTTTTGTATCATGTACTTTCAGGTAGATGTGAAGCGGAGCATAGAAGATGGAGAGAAGCGATTTAATCAACTCTCTATTGAAGAACGGGGGAAATTCGATGAGGAGACGCTTGTTAACGTGAATAGCATAAAGAGACAAAGCTCGAAGATTCGAACAGCTAGTGGTTTCAGCAACGAATATATAGTGGTACACTACTCCAAAATTGAACGTTTAGTGGTATATAGGTTCAGACAGTTAAACTGGGTCTAGTAGTATTGCCCCTAAAAGGAAATGCATTAGTTTTGATAATGAAGCTTTAAGAGTAGTTAATGATTTACAAAAATTAGGTTGTTGCATTTTGACTATCGTAATTGTTTAACAGGAAGTGTTGTACATATACACTATACAGGTAACTATTTTGGTGGCTGCAGAGGGTGTACATAAACTGCAGCCAATAAATGGAAGCACGGATCTGAAGGAAGCCTTACTGAAACTCGGGTCCATACCGCGAAACAAAATAATGGTAAGAGACTGTCTAATAAGTTACGTAATTCGGGGAACAGTTTAAAGTCTTGCAAATGAAAGATGTAAAAATAAAATGTTGCAGGCAGTAGAAGTATTGTGGACACCGCAGAACGAGGAAGACGCTTTGTCAGAAAGGGAACTACTTGAAGATTACCCACTGCTAAGGCCATTGTAAATTTTAGAGACATTAACAAAAAAAAACACTTTAAAAAAGTGCTTACACAAAAAGACACTTTGGCGAATATGAGTATTTTTAATGTGTAAAAAGACAGTTATATTCTTATTGTTTTCTTTCTCAATTTTTTATTTTCTTTTTCAATAATATTTTACTAAACACCAAATCCTATAATCATCGACGAATCTTCGTTCGCCGTCATTGAAGACATAAATCCAGCAAATTAGTTGATTTCATGTTCTTTTATTCCTGTACTAGTATTCAGAGTTTTTTGTTGCTACTGAATTCGAAGATGAAGGTGCCAGATCTCTGCAAATCAGATAAGGAAAAGTTTATTTGTAGTTTGAATCTAAGGTTTTCTCTAGATATTTCAATTATTAAGTATTTAAAAGGCTTATTATAGCGAATTAAAGAAATCTCATGGTTCTGTTTGTTGTCTATTTGATTTAGCCGCCATAGTTGAAGCAATTCAGGTGTCGGATGAAAAACAACCACCACAATTGTTTGAGATGCATCCATAATTGATTATCCACCAACAGGCATCCACAGTTGGTAACCGCGTAGACTGTGTTGTTGGATGACTACTTTAGTACATATCCACTATTGGTTATCCATCGACAAACGTCCACAGTTGGTTACTGTGTGGACAATATTGTCTTTTTATTTGTAAAGTTGTAATAATTGTATTAGGTCGTCCACAAGGTGTCATCCATATAGGGGTCTCCAAACGTCCTTGTACACGACCTCGTGTACCCTTATGTTTATGCATCCCACCGGTTTGCAGTTGTGTTCTATTTGTAGGAATTAACCAAAGGTGTACAAGTGGGAGGTATTCCTTAGATGTAACTGTGTGGACAATGTTTGTATTTCCGTTTGTAGTCTTATAATAATCTATGGGTGTGAGTACTTTTGTACGCATCCACAGTTGGTTATCCACCAACAAACATCCACAAGTGGTTACCGTGTGTTGTCACATAAATACTTAAGTACGCATACACAGTTGGTTATCTATCGACAAACGTCCACCGTTAGTTACTTCGTGGACAGTGTTGTCTTTATATTTGTAGAGTTGTAACAAATTACAGGTGTGCATACTTTACTATGCATCCACAGTTGGTTATCCACGAACATGCATCCATAAACAAAATTATTATGTCGTCCACTAGGGGTCATCCATATAAAAGTTTATTAACGCGCAATTACTTTCCAAGATGATTTTTTGGAAAACCCAATCTTCACTTACGTGGACAAGTATCGTCGGATAACATCCACAATATTAGGATCATGATTATGTAGGTTCCAACCCAATGGAGGGTTGGTTTATATTCCAAAACGAAGACAGCTTATATGCTGGCGTGTGGATAGATCATTATGTGGCTGTCTAGATGCAGACATCCAAGGAAGGTGCAACAACTACTGTGCATCCATGGGTAAAATGTATGAACTGCAATGCTTCAGTATAAAATTAAATTGAAGAAATCATAGTTTTCTTGGATGTATGTATATGGAAATACCAGATATTAGCGAACTATACAGATTGAAACAGTGTCATTGATAACATGTTTCTTACTATGCAATTCAAGCACAAGAGGTTATCAAACTCAAATGCAACACTGAGATGTAGTATAGCATGCAAGTGAGGTATCAATCCACACCTAGGAGTAGGAAGTATCACTAAGAATGCAAGGGAATGAGCAAATCTAAGCGAAATGGATAATTGATTGGTAAATTCAAGGAAAACTAAATGCAAGTATCAAATGCAATGCAAAACAATTTTAAAATCCCTGGAAGAGGGTTAACAACCACTAGGAACAAGCAGAAGGTCTAAAAGGCAAGGCTACCAAAAACTAAAAATCGACTAGTGGATCGACCACTAGATCGAGCAATATGAATCGATCTCGTCTAACAACTTAAGATGATGAATGATGTGATGAACTAATGAACAGGATGCAAACTTTATGATGACAGAATGATAAACAGAGATTTAAAACACTAAGAAAGAGGGTCTAGGGTTGAGGGTCATATTCATGGGTCTCAAAAATTATAGCTTGGTTTGAAAACTTTTAGATCTACTCACTTTGTGAGGTTCTCTTGGCCTTGAAAACAAAACAAGAACCATCCATGGCATGTGGTATGGTTCACTTATTCAATCTCTTCTCCAAACCCATGGTGTTTGGTGGAAAAAGAGATCGAAGAGCAAGAAACACAGATTTCAAACGTTGACCTAACTAATCCCCTAAACAACCATGACATGTGGGAAAGGAAGGATTAGCCTCTAAGATCTGATTTTCCAGGACATCTGAATCCTGTCAAGGTAAGACAGCCTTTGGATCATAGAGATCTTGGCATGAGAGTCTCTAAGCCTTAAGTACTCAAGATCCTAGAAGAGAAGGTAATGAAGAACAAGAAAACACAAAGCTTTTAACCTTTTTGACCCTTTTGAATCACCTCAACCCATCAACCCAAATGAAACTACTCGCTACTCATAAAGAAAACCGAACAAAAAGCAAAGGATGATCTACTAAACATGATTAACGATTGATTAAAGCAAAAGATTCAATATTCAAAGGTTCAAAATGCAAGAAAAGCTTGAGAAGTTCTAGAATGGCGGAATCGCCTAAGATCGAGAGAAAAACGAAAAACGATAAAAGTGAAAGCGTGTGTGAAAGGTGGGATCGCCGCCTTCCCAAAATGGACAAACAGTCGGATGGTCCCCCCTTGCTAGAATCCAAAAACGGTTAAAGTGGCCTAGAATCGACCTTGTGATCGAGCATATCACTCGATCGTCTTCGGGAATCGCCTGCCTCAGCTCGATCTGCGTGTCGATCTTCTTGAATGAATCGAGTGCTCTGTCCGATCTTCAAGTCGATCCTTGGATGATCGAGTGGTGGACTCGATCTGGCTCTCGTTCTGCATGGCGTCATTTATGTCCGTACTCCGGATCGATCTCCTCTCTCGATCTTGATCTCGATACTTCCTCTGGAATCGACTTGGTGTACTCGATCTTCTGGTCGATCTCATCTAGATCGACCTGCCTTGCTCGACCCGCTACTCGATCTCGGATCCTTAGCTGAGTGGTTGAGTTCTCCAAGCCTCCATAAGCTTCCTCACGAGCTTTAGCACGTCCACGAATCCTCCATAGCTCCAAAGTATTCGAAAACAACCTGAATGTGATGCATAATGCAAGAAATATGCGAATGCTAATGCAAAAGTTCTCTAGGACCTAAAATGGTGCAAACTAGCCTAATATGCAAAGTAAATGCATGAGAAACTATCTTATATGCATGCAAAATACACGAAATATACAGTAATATCAACTCTCCCAAACTTGCCTTTTGCTTGCCCTCAAGCAAACAAAATTCAAGAAGGAAGAGAGGTTTTAAAAACGGGGGTTTAAGCTTCTTGCAAATGTGCTTTTCAAATGAATCACTTCAATGGTCCTAGTTCTTAACTCTAAGATGCAATGCAAACACTTATACTCCAAAGAATTTAGCCATACTCATTACATAATGAATTTCAAATCATGACTCTCATATTCCAAACAATCAAAGAATCTTATCCTTTAACATTCATTAAGATTAGAACCGTGAATCACACCTATGCATTTTAAAGCCGAACATATTTGGTTATGGACAAAGGCTATGAGACTAGAATGATCTCATTTAAAAGGGTTTTATAAAGCAAGGGTTTCTCTCAAGAAAGGTATGAATTTATGCATAATGCTAAAGGTAAAGGCAATTGATGCATACATGACTAGACTCTCATCTACCCATATACATTAACAATGATCCTAAAACCCCTCTCATTTCTTTTCTTTTTAGCTCACTCACCCTCCTAGATACTACCCTTATCAACAAAGCAATTCGCTTAGCAAAATCCCAAATAAAAACATCATCTCAAACTCTTTGGCTAGTGGAAAGGCATTAAAACACATTAGCTCTTTCTATTCTCATTGATCGCTCTATACTTATTTTCTTTTTTTCTTTTCTTTTTATTTGGCACTTAGGCTCTTTTATTTTCTTTCTTTTTTTTTCTTTTTCTTTTTCTTTGAGAGTTATCTTCTGAATTAACTAGAGCCTTTATTTTAAAAACATTGAGCCATCCACTTAAAACCTTTTTCAAACACTTCAAACACCAAACTCTTTTTCAAAACCGAGAACAAGTAAGTGAAATAAACTATCCTCATGAACCCCAAACCTAATCCTAAGCCTAAAACTAGCTTCAAAATGCAAAGCTAGGATCAATATGAAAGTCTAATCATGTCGCCTAAACCTAACACTTTATGCCAAGTTCAAACCGAAAAAGGCCTCACAATGATATCACACAAGAACATTTGGCTTAAAAGAAAGGTAAGGGTAATGGTGGGAGTTCTACTTAGGCTCACAAAAGAGTGGTGAAAGGAGGAAGAGAGCCTAAATATGTATATGATCCATGTGTTCATTTTCAAATGCATAAGTATGATAGTTAAAGATCAGATTAAGGTTCTCACTTATTAGGACAAGATTCAGTTCATGAATGTTCAAGTCAAGCCACGAAAATCAAAACACATGATCCGAGTATGGTTAGAGCTTACTTTCAAAGAGTGTACAATGCATCAAAGAGCTACTAACTAGGGCCTTGAAACAATTCATGAGCTTAAAACACATTTTAAAGAAAACTTTAACCACTTATGCAAATGTAAACAACCTAGATGCTTAAAAATTCTAGACTCAATCCTAAAATGTTTAACAAAGTGAATGCAACTACATGAATTTTTTGAAATTTTTTTAAAAATTTTACCAATTTTTTTGTTCTTTTCTATGCCTTAGATGCAATGAAGACTCAACGGATGCAAACAGAAAATAAGAAGAAAGAAAATAATGTCAAATAACACACACACTCCCCCAAACTTGAATGACACCGTCTCGGTGGCAAACAAATCCAAGAGAGTTCAAAACACAGAAAGCATGCGTGGTATATACAAGGGACAGTTGTTGGTACCTCAGAGCTAAGAAGTG